CAACCCTCCCCGTTCCTCAGCTCCACGCCCTCGAAGTCAAGCGCGGACTCCATGTCACGCCCATCCAGCGGTGCCCCAACCGACGGGTCATTGTTATGGTTGTCCTGCGCAGAGATGAAGTCCCCAGTCGTCTTGACATTGCCGTCACGGCCCCGCTTCTCGTCGCGCCCCGCGTAACCATACTGATTCGCCTCCTTGAGCACCGTAATTGTGCGGTCCATATGCTGTTGATTGACCTGTCACACTGTCTTTGAGACGTCGCTGGGCGCGTAAGAGCCTTGATTTTCTTCGTGCGCAGGTCCAGACCCATTGACAACTTGGAAAAGGTTCGCATATTAAAATTGTGTAGCGAGAATCTTCCGAACCATGCGTCATGCGAATACTTCGGATTATTCTTTAGATAACAAATGTACAAAATTTCAAAACGAACTTCACTTTCACCTTCTCGCTCTTTCCCTCATAAAATCTTTTTCCTCTGCCTCCCCCCTCGCTTTTATCTCCTCAGGACATCCCCAGTGACCGCTAGCTGCACATGGATTTTTCCGTGTCGGCTATTTGGATCGGGCGAATAACCGATTCGCATGTGCTCAACAAGGGCGACCGACGGCAAAGTGGGCTTCAGGACCCCATCACCTTGATCGCTGAGGACAAGGGGGACCATACAATTAGAACGAAAGCCTTCAGGCACGTTGATCAGCAAATTCATCACCGTAGTGCGCTCGGGGTACCCCATATACATGTCATCAGCCAAAATGGCTTTCAATGCCATTTCTTGTATCCAGTAAGGGTGTGCCATAAAGCGGGCAAGCTGGGCGCGTGTGGCCATCCACATGCCTTGATATGGATATGTCGGTGAGGCGAATCGATCATGGACGCCGACAGACCATCGTGTCTTGTCGTGATGCTTCCCACAACCTAGCGCAAGTTGTCTTTGCAGCCGTTCTTGTACGCGTAAGAAATCGGCATTTCGAGTTGCATCCAGCAGATTTTCGCTGGTGATTTCTAGAGGTTGCGTATAATCCAGCATGTTGAAGTCCCCCGTCTCCACATCCACCTCTGTTCGATAGTTGCAGCGCGTGAAGTTCAACGGCTCAAGGATTTCTGTATCCAGTGCCCAGGAAACTATAGTCGGCCAGGACAAGCGCGTGTCGTCTTCCATGTAGAATATCGACGTATAATTGGGATGCCTTTCCACAGCCTTTTCAATCGCCTGCCTGTGGACCCAAAGTAACGAGTGTTTATTATCGTCGTTTGACGTGGGAGCTTGCCATAGTTGAATGGTGGGATTGCTTCCTCCAATGTATCCCTTTGCGGCTAGAAACTCATGTAGAGCCTTCTCATTGTTTGTAACGATGAGGACGTCTACTTTAGTCTCGTAGGTCTGACTAAGATCGAGCATGGAAGTGAGATACACGAGTTTACTCACGTTCCAATGATATGATATGACTACAAGGATATCTTCAAGTAAGTGTGGGGCAGGGCATGGTGTTGCTGGGAGCTGGATGTGCTGTGTCGTTTCACCCCAAGTAGAAATAGGCCCGTCCAGGACCAATACATACATACACAACAGCACCAAGAGACCGCAGGCGGCGGCCTTCAACATTCTTTGCCTTGTCTGCATCACAAATTCCATTATCGTCCCTCCTGTATCCGAGTATATAAATGTATATTGCATGAAAAGCATCGGTCATGAATGAAACGGACACGGATGGGTACTACATAGTGTTGGACACGGAGAAATATGAAAAAGGAGAAAAATCACGCTCTACGAGTGGATGGTATCATACAAGTGGACTTGTTGACGTATCGAAAAAAATCCCTACCCCGTCAACACATATCCTCCACTGCGCGAACCTTAAAAACGGCTAACTGGGTCAATTCACCATAATATCGCTCAAACAAAGATTTAGTCCGAGGACTCTCCGGGCCCTCGCCGGCTCACAGACACAGGATCCTCCCGGCCGAAAAATAAGCCAACACCCGCCCTAAACCTGCAATGACGAGTCACGCCACTACGTGACCATTCTCAAAGCACTCACAGTCCATTCTTGACAGGTGCTTGAAGGGCAAGAGTGGGGTTGTGCCGGGAGAATCCTCGTGTTTGCGACTTTTGCGTGACACTGCAACCTGTCTCTCCGAGGAAGGGGAGAACCTCAAGCCGCATCCTCGACCCCGACCTAGACATTGGTTCCTCCTGCATTTGCCCAAACATCTCTATCGTGGACAGTCACGCACAAATACGACAATCAGAGCGAATGATTACGCAAAATTGCCCCGGTCGCAGCGGCCCTAGGGTCGCAGCTGCCCTGGTGATCTTCAGCTGCTTCCTCGCATCTGACTTTTCCCCCGCTCCCGTCACTGCCTTCCTCCTAGTTTCTCCCGCGGTACCTTCCCTGCAAAAAGCCACTGGGACGCCACAAAACCTCCTTGTTTCCCATCTTTTGCCGCCCTCCCAGCTCTCGTCGGCGCCCATGACGGACGGGGGGACCCGGACTCGGAGCAGCATTTTCCCTCCGCCCCTCATGTCGTTCTACGGGGAACAGCGTCGCAAACTGCAGGAGGAAACGGAGGCCAAGCAGATGGAGTGGGCCAAGCATTTCAACGAGCTGATCGTCACGCAGGGCCAGGAATTGTGCGTGTGTGGCTACGAGGGGTACGTGCGTTCGGGCAGCAAGGGAGCCGTTGCTGTCTACTGTGATGACGAAGCAGAAGGCGAGGGGGGGGCGGAAGGCCAGGGGGGAGGCCTACATACTTGCTCCTCCCTGTCCTTCACCACGCTCGAGGAACTTTTGGCCGACCCGCGCATGGACGACGGGGTGAAGGCACAGCTGAGTGAGCGCGTCACCTCCTACGAGCCCGATTCGGAGGTCGCCGTGCTCTTCGCCTACAACGGTCAGGTGGGCCTGAACGTGCTGCGACCCCAGTACCCTCCCAAGTTTCTCTTTGAGACATTGAGGGGCAAGAAGTAAGGGTGCAGCGGGAAGGGAAAGGGGAAGGGGAGGGGTCGAGGGAACGTTGAGGCGGGAGCAATCCCTGCTACGCCGGGCATGAAAGAGGGAGGGCAGCATCCTGAGGAGTGGAGACATTGGCAGGCCTGAGCGAGGGTGTACAGCATGGAAGAAAAGGGAAGAACACTGGCGCCGCTGCGCCGCTTCCTAGGTGACAAACTCCACCATGTAAGGGGGATTGCATGAACTGAAAAATGATAGGCAAATAATAACTCTGCAGGTAAGAAGGCATCTTGAAGTCAAGCAAGGCGCATGGAAGTGACAGTGTCATTGGAGCCTTATTTATGTTTAAGGAAAAAGACAAGCAGAAGAAAGCAGGCAGGTAAGCTCGTGCACTAGCTACCACAAGCTATTTATGTGGTCCTCACACAGATGTGATGGAGCACCGGACATAACAGAGGTCGTCATTTGGAATGTCACCACGGGTATATCGCATGCTCAGCGAATAACGAGCACACCATGCCGAGAGAAGGGGTACGAGGGTCGGAGCCGCTGCGTCACTGTAGAGAAGTTTGAAATATAATGGGCGACAGAGCCGCGCGAAAGTTGTCTTCCCCAAAATTTATATACGTCAATGGGTGAAATTAGAGGGTTACGTTTGTGGCGTTGAGAGTGTGCAGTGGCCTCCCCTCACATGTTCAGTTTGATGCCCGGCACAGGCATGTAGCTTGCCAAAGCATCGGAAGTGTGAGGCGAACTTCGAGATTATGAATAGTCATGTCCTTCAAGAGCATCTCTAGGATAAGTTGTGCGTTTAAACTGGCTTTTAAGAAAGAAAATGGAATAATATGACGCTGAGAGAGGAGGCATTCCTAGAGGGCGACTCGAGAAAGCCGCTACCTCCACATGGTTTTGTCACCCATCCACTCAAGCTTTGCGAGAATCGATGTACCCTGTCGAAGAAAATACATATGCGCGAACTACTTGTGCCTTTCGCGCGCCTGCTTATGGCGTACCATGGCAGATCGGAGGGGTACCCCCTCGGTCGTCAAAGAGGGCATCGAAGAGGGAGGCTCGCTGCCTGAGGCTCCCGACCGCCTTCATCACCAAGGAACCCGCCTTGATGTCATACAACGCACTTACATACTTCTCGTTCACCGTGACATTTGCGCCCACAGGAGGAGCTTGAATTTTGAGTGGAGATCGCGTGTTTCGGGCAGCTGCCAAGCAGTTTTTCCCCCTCTCTTTTCGATACGTATATCACCGGTGGTAAGGCTCCCGTGGAAGCAAGGCTTTTGGACGTCTTTTTGGAATGACAGGATTAAATTGTTGCAGAGAGAGCAACAGAAGTTTTTGTAGCAATAATGATTCCTGTAATTTGAGCTCAACCGCGAGCAAGTGTCGGCAGGGACGCAGAAAGGCGCACCTAAGATGTCACGTGCCCGTAATAGGCACGAGACCCTTCCTCCTCCTCCTCCTCTTCCCCCTCATCAATCTCGTAGCTCCTACCCATGGAGCCAAGCTGTGGAAGCTGCCACTTACAAGTGAGTTGAGCACTATTGATCTTCTGACGGTTAGCTCCCATGTCGGATTCTCTTGGCATGCATTTCAGCCTTGCATTCCCATGGTTAGGAACCTCCTGTCCGTCTTTTCGCAATCCTTTTTGTTGTCAGCAAGGACCATCCATTTGCTTCAGGGCGCCAAGGCAGGAGAATCCTACCACTAGCTTGCGCCCATAGCTAATCCATCCTTATTCTCCGTTGTCCACTTTTTCTTTCCTCCTCCCCTCCCAGATCCCCTTCAATGGCTTCGCCCGGGCGGGGACACGCGCCACTTACAGGCCACAGTGCGGGCCCTTGAGTCCGAGCTGAGTCGTCTCCGAACCTTGCATACGGCACATTTAGACGAACTGCGGCGTCTGCGAGCCAAGCGTGCGGAGGACTTCGCGCGATTTCGGGAGGCCGGGAAGCAGCAAGCGGCCGAGAACGAGAGGGTGCGAGAAGCAGCAGTGCAGGCCTTGGCGCGGGCGCAGGAGAAGGAGGACCGGATAGAAGAGGAACTGGAGAGGGAAAGGAAGAGGTGGAGGACGGAGGCGGAGACGGCGATAGGGCAGGCGGTGAGGGAGGCTGTGGAGGAAGAAAGACGGAAGGGGAAAGAAGTGGTAGGGAGGTTGGAAAGCGCCTTGGCGGCCGCACGTGCGGCGGGTGCGAACGAAGAGGAGGAAAGGGAGAAGGAAGATGAAGGATTGCGAGCCTTGCAGGAAGCCTTCGAGAAGGAACGGAGGCAGTTTAAGAAACGCTTAGGCGCAGAAAGAGAGTTGGTGGAGGTGACTCTGGCCAGGGAGGAGAAGCTGCAGCAAGTTATTCTCAAATTAGAGGCCAGCAACCACGCACTCAAGGCGGAGGTGGGCCAATTGACGGAGGGGAAGGAGGGGAAGGAGGTGAAGGTACCCATCGAGAGCAGGGACCAGGTGCTGACCGACAGACCTGCGGCGACAGTAAGCGAGACCCGGGCACCAAGTGCGACCTCCCCACCCGTCCCGGCGCCTCCTCAAAGCCCGGTGACAGCAGGGCGGATTAAAACATCCAATACAAAGATGGTAGAGGAATGTGGAAGCGCTTCCGCCCCCCCGGCATCGGTATCGTCCACGGTGGCGGATCCAAGCTTGCCCTCTCCCAACACCAGCAGCAGCCACAGCAGCAGCAAGAGCAAGAGCAGCCCGTCGGGGGCCAGGAAATTAAAAAACATTGGAAAGCCCAAAGCTTCTGTCAGGAAAGCAACAACGAAACCTGGCTTGGGAGCAGGGAAGATGGAGACGGCCCCAGCGAAGAAAAAGAAAGCGACAACCTCCCGCCCCTCGTCTTCCTCCGCGTCCTCCCTCCCTGCCTCCTCAGGGTCAGGACGAGCCTCCGCCGCTCGACCGGGGCGCCAGCCCGTTACTCCCACGCTCAAGAAAGGGGGTCTGGGCGCTCCCCACAAATAAGGAGGGCAGGAGGGCAGGAGGGATGGGAAGGAACGGGGGGAAAGCACGAGAAAGGCGGGGTTCGCGGCGGGGAAAGCGATGCGATAGGGAAAGGGCTAGACGAGGGACCTTCGCTATCGGCGAGGAGTCCGATGGGCAGGAAAGGGGACGCGAGCAAGACCGTGGAAGGGTAGGGCCTTTTGTAAAGCAATGACCTAGTCTAGGACGGGCTACGACAGGAAATGCCACGAGAGCTTGCTTTCTTTTCCGGTTCCCTTTTTACCGGTGTCCTGCTCGCGAACCCTACCCCTTCCCACTTTGACAGGATCCTCCGGGTGCCGATCCGTCCCTGGGCGCCCTGCTCCTCTCCACCACCACGGTGTCGCCCACAAGCCTGTCGTCCACGTGCGTGACCATTTCGTGCTCTTTGCCTTTCAAATGCACCTCGGGGCGCAAGCGCACCTCGTAGTTTCCCGCCTCGTTCAAACGTCCTTGGACAATGTTCTCGCTGAACATCTCTTCCACTTCCCGGATGCCCGCTACCAGCCCCTCAAGCTCGCGGTGGTCCTGGACGTGCTGGAGAGGGAGGAGGCGATCAGAGGTCGAGATTGCTGGATAAAGAACCGTGTTAAATTTTTGGAGAAAACTATCGAAGGCCACTTTTTCACGCTTCCATACAAATGTAAGCCTATCAAACGCCTTCATTGATTGTCTCCTTGCTGACTTTATTGCCTCCCCATGGACATACCCGGTGCTTATTGAACTCGGTGCGAAGCTGTAGCCGTGCTTGGTCCATCGCGTATTGGTCTCCCTGAAAGACTCTCAAGCGCAGTCGTAGCAATCGACGATATCCACCCAGTACACTGCTTTTCAACCCTGTGCTAGCCTTAGCAGCAGCAGCAGCGCTGGTCGACATGGTTTCCTTGAGAGAGCAGGATCATAATTAGAAGTAAGGAAAGATACTTTTCCCTCAGGGTTCTGGAATGCTCGACTACTAGCAGATACTGATTCAAACGTGTGAACTCAGAGCTACATGCGTAGAATGTATTCTTGGCATCCCAGAACACAGCTGTCTTGTGTGCGCTGAGACGTGTTTCAGGGGCAATGAAGCTCGCCAAGCGGAGCGACGAGAAGCCTTCTCCCCGGCCTTCAAGCCCTTCCTGTCTCCCTAGTCCTGGCCACATTAAAACCCGCACGCAAAGGGGCCGTCGTGTTGACTGAAGCAATCCACTCGGGCTACATGCTTATAACAGATGAAATGTAGGGCAGAAACGACGTCGACGTGGCGTGTTTGTCCGTGTTGTATTTTTTCAAAGACGTTGTCAGGCAGGGACGTCGACCTGGTTGAAACGACGTGTCGCCATGCCCCTCGTACCGCACACCATCTACAGGTGTACATATGTATCTTTTGGCCATTCTTGAGGATGAATTGTGAGGAAAAACTGATTTTCGTAATATTCAAATTACACGCAATCATATTGTGCAGGCATTTCGATTGTCGGAGGACAAAGGGGCACCGTCCACCTTCACCCTCCTTTGGATAGAGCCTAAACTACCACTTCCACCGAGAGCTGGCTTCCGACTTCCACCCACCGCCAGAGCAAAGCCAAGTGTGTAACGAAGGGGGCTATGAGCAGCCGTATCACGCGCAGTAGCAGCGGTGGAGGTGTTTCGTCCCCTCCCTCCGTCTCTTTTTCAGAGCGGGCGGGCGTCGCAGGCCCTCTTGAAGCTAGCCCCGTAGGCCCTCGATGCGCAGGTGGCAGTAACTCCACATTAGCCATTCGATTTCAAATTCAAGATAAAGAGCAAGTAGATGCACTTTGGGAACGCGTGCGGATCGAGGTCTTGGATCCCTTAGAAGCGGCATTGGCGAACTTTGACCCCCGGGCCACGGAGGTGGTCCGAAAGAAGTATTACGAAGTGTATTCGTAAGTCAAGCAATTGAAGGGGTCATTAGAAAAACCGACAAGGACTCAAGACGTGTTTATACGTCAATCAGTACCCCGCACAACACTACGTTCACACCACAACTCCCCGTTTTGGCCCCCCTCCCTTCTGCAGGAGCGTGTACCACGTCGTGAACGACCCGAACCGAGACGATCTGGACCGGCACCCGCTCATCCTGGCCAAGCATCTGGAGACCCTCACGAGCTATCTGGAACGCGTGACTCTGCCGTCTCTAGCGGCTGCGCACGATGGCTACTTGTTGCGCGCGGTGGGGGAGCAATGGGGTCGATACGTCGTCTTGAACAACTGGCTGCATAAGCTCCTCATCTTCGTCGAGCGCAGTTACCTGGGGAGACAACCCGGGAAAATGGGACTAAAAGGTACGTTATGATCAAGGCCAGGAGAGTGGAAGACGGGAGATGAAAGAGGAAGGGCCGGGGGCGCGGGTTCCTCGTGTGCCGGTTCCCTCATTCTTATTTAGCTGTCCGGCTTCCTTGCACTCCTCCTCTTCAGAACGAGGTCTCAGGCAATTTTCCAAGATCGTCTTTTCACGCTCTGGGCAAGGAAGATTGCTCCCCCTGGTCCTCGCCATCGACAATGTGGTCACGCGCTGGCGCAGCCAGGGAGAGGGGGATAATGGTGGGGGAGCGGGGGGGAGGACAGGCCCGACCGTGGACGCGGATGAGAAGGAGGCCTGTCGAGCTTGTGTGGAGCTCTTGGTCGAGACGGGCGTGACGACGGAGCTAAAAGACCGGCTGTTGGCCTCGGCCCGCAAGTATTTTGCCGGGAGGGCCGCTCTCTGGATGGGGGGCCTGGGGGGCCCGGAGGAAGGAGGGAGGGAAGACGCCAGCCGGGTGGGGTGGTACATGCGGCGCGTGGAGACAGCCCTGCTGCACGAAGAGGGCTTGCTACGGGAATTCGATCTAAGTCGGGCTCTGGGGGAGGAGTCTCTGGTGGTGGCCGTCCAGGAGTTGGTGCAAGCGCACGGGGAGAGTGTGGTCACGCGGGAGGTCGGGGGCTGCGCCTGGCTCTTGCGGCAGAGACGCTACGAAGAGCTGGGCTTGATGTACCGACTTTTCCGCAGAGAGATGCTGACGGTGGCGGCTGCTCAAGCCGCAGCCAGTGCCGCCGCCGCGGTGGCCGTCAAGGAAATGTCTGCTCA